TGTGGACGCTAGGTGTATCCGCATAAAAAAATTTGCGGATACAAAAATCTCCGGATACGTGTGGACGGGACCTAAGCGGTGCTACTGCTCGTACGGCTAATAAAGCGAAAGGCAGGTGTAACATTTTTAATCGCTTCTTTGTCCCTTGTGCCAAAGATTTAAGGTCAACCCATCAAGCAAGTGTGCGATTATTCTTCAAATGGCTGCCTCAATTTGATTGTCCATGAAAATTTAAACTATGGAAGATCGCTGTATCGAAGGTTCCTAGGGCGCTTAAAGAATCAAGAAGTTTTACAAAGGCCAATTCTGAATTATGTATGAGTTAAAAGAACGGGGATAAACTCGCCTTGCAATGAATCCGTAACAAACGAGACAACGGAGCTGGTACATTTTTCTTTTTCTTTGCCATTATGAACATTGAAGCTAAGAGACATCGTTTTATTCAACTAGAGTTTTGTTTAGTTAACTTTTTGTTCTGCTTTCAGTATCCAGTTTGCTCTGTCCCCACTGAAGAGGAGTTTCAAATATATCAGTGTTGTTTTGCTTTTGTCTATGGCATTTCCTTTAGCTCCTGCTATACAATTAAAAAATCGCAATAGCAAGCTACAAGATAAAGTATTCTAAGAAAACCTGACTTAAATTTGATTCATTTAATTCTGTTACCCAGTTCTAATCTGGCATTGAACCCTTAGAATTTTGAAACGAATTGTACTTCTATTTTATTGGTTCTGACCAATGGCTAACGGTCGAGACGTCAGCAATAGGAACTCTTAGTGGTCGCTACTCAATTACATTATCAACTCAGTTGATCAAACCAAATTATCTTCTAAAACCTCCCCACCAACGCAGTACCACAGTTTCTCCAGAAACTTACCCCCTCCCTTGTTCTATTATCGTTTTTCTTCTTTTTAAATGCATGCCATACATTACATATCATTATATTCAGATAGAGTTTGAAAATGGTTCTAGACTTGCGTAAACTACGAAAGGTTTAGATTCAGAAACTTTACCAAAAAGATATGACAGAGTCAAATACAAAGGCGAGTGGAAGAGCTGTGATAACTTTCATACCAAAGATGGCTATTGAACATGGTGCAACTGTCCGTTTGTCGCTTGTACGGGAT